TTCCGTCTTTTACTATCTAAGAAATTGACTATAAACGAAGTTATTTATACAAAACTGGAAAGTTAATATAATAATAATGCTAGCGAAATATTTGCGTACATGTTTGAAATCACATTGATATCTTTCTGATTAAATCATATTAGAATGACAATATTTTATTAAAATTTACCTCAACATGATTCCCTAAGAGTATATTCTGAATAATATTAATAGTTGATAATTTATTTGTTCAGAATTCCGAAAAGTGTGAACTGGTATTAAGTCAATGACAGCTGGTCCTCTTATCCATCGAGAAACAATCACATTTATTGTCATGAAAATTATTCAAAGTTACTTAAAATTTAGTCGATTACTGCCCGGAGATATTTCGAAATTTTTAAAGTCAGTCTCTCATGTTCGTGAATTGGCTAGAGATTATTTAACGGTAACCTTGGTGACGTAAAACGATAGATCGGTTTTCGTGGAATGAATTACGCTCGAGAATCACACTCGGTGATTCCCGTTTTTCCTCATTTCAAAGTATACAAGGCGTAGCGGATTGCTATCTTTATAGTAGATGTAAGTATTAGGTAATGTTATTTATTATCGATAGCAAGAGACCTTGGACTAGCCTCTACATTCGCTGTTTAAATATTGATAAGAATTTGTAAAAATTACAAGCATTTAACATCGCTAATAAATAACAAGATTTTATAATTTATATTAATATGATTGAAAATTTAATTATCAAGAGATATTTAATATTAAATATTCGAATTCGCGATAAATGGAATTTTTTCTAAGATAAAAAAAGTTCAAAATTTGTAATAAAATATTAAAATTAATGCAGATGTAGAAGATAAAGACAATTTACTAAACGGATACGTTAAAATATAGACAGACTTTCCTTAGTCAGCTAATTTCCATAATTTGTAAACGTGTTATGTTAATTTGTCAACCGTGAGTAAAAACACAACGTTAACTGCATTTAGATTTGATTACTTAATAAACAACATTTGCATACTATTAATGAAAAAGTATTCAGAAATGGACTTTAACCGTCAGCGGAAATCAATTTCCTCACAACTGTTTGATTTTAGACAAAGGGATTTCTTTTATAGGGAATGCAACTGTCACTGCATGTCCATGTTCAACAATGCCCTCGATATACATTCAGGTGATACATTCCAGTAATGGTTCGCGAGCTCGACTAAAAGGCTTGTAACAAAAGCAACATCGTATCTTTGTCGCAATATCTGCATTCAATAATAGATAATGATTTTGACATTGCTAGGCTGGAATAATAAATAGATGTAATGCAAGCGAAAGATAACATAGATGTGGTAGATATTTTGATATTGTTACATCAAGGATTAAATAATCAAAGCAAATTTTATTTAATATCTAAAAATATGCAAAATAGCTTTACATCGAATACAGCTGCATTTTTTAAATTTATAGTTTATTATAATTATATAATAATTTATGTCTATGTGTGTATATATATATACACATATAATTATCTTTCAAAGTTTCAGCGCTTATTTATTTATAGCATTCTTAATTATTATTAATACATGATTGTGAATATCGCTGCTTATTTAATTTTATACGTGATGTGAAAAAGTATAAACTTACATACATGTTACATTCAACTTATATTTATTAAGAAACACATGAATACCGATGTATGAATGAACGCAAAAAGATGGTTCATATATCTCGCTACGCGAGCATAATATAATACATGAATTAAACAGGGCATTAGATTGATAAGGAACTGACTATGTCACGCAGAATCCTGGTCCATTCGGCGGCTGGGCGGGAATACCGCGTCTATTCATACGGCAAGCATGCTCTTCCAGACGTTTAGCGGCAACTGTATTTTCCTGTTTGTTGAAACTCCACAAACGTTCGGCTGCTGCGCTCGCACGTGGCCAGATCCTCGAATGTACGTTATTTCTAAAAATAAACAGCGGTTAGACGAGAAAGCTTAATATATATTCTTTCTCATCTCAGAGATCAAATAAACTACTGTCTATACTCTATTTTATTGCTTAGTACGCGTTGTCGTAAATCTTTAGAAATCATTTTCACATAAAAAGTAATATTATACAGAATTAATCGTGGTGAATTTACCATACAATTCTGCTTTAATTCTTGACAATTATATCTTTATTCTTGCCAATTTAATTCTTGTCAGTTTAACTGAAAATCTTTAATCGCGTGTTACAATTGAAAATAAAATGCAAGATCATTTCCGCTGTCGTCCAATTAATTACCTATTTATAAAACCTATCCATAGACTTTTGCATACAAACGTCGTTAAAAAAATAGAGAGTTGATACTCACTTATTGACAAATTCTGCCCACATGCAGGCTTCGCCGCCGAGCATTAAATGAGTGGCATTGGCCGCATTGATAAAGTCGAAGGGATCGCAATTATAATACTTCTCCCAATCGCCGCCGCTGGCGAGGTGGTCGAGATACCAGCAAGAGGATAGCAAAACCGGATGCCCTGCGATTGTCGCTCTCTCGAGCTCCTTTTGCCAACTCGGTAGTTTCCAAACATGCACTACGGTAGTTGTGGGTAGGACAACGCCATTATCGAAAACCTATAAGCCGTGTAATTTGCACATATAACAAAATAACTTACAAATAGTAATATTATTATATATTATATAATAATAATTATACGGTACAGGCATGTCAACTATTAATTGTAAAAAAAAAAATTAAAATAGATTGCAAAAAAAGCACACTCACTTCTTGCCATACGATAGTATTGGCGTCCAGCGATTTGCTGATCGCGAGTATCTTGGCTATGTATTGATTTTCGAGCAGCTCGTATCTGTTGGACATATTGTGCGTTTTCATGTACTCGCCAATTTCCGGATTGCTGCCCCAACAATCGAACGGTACTTCGTCACCACCCAAGTGAAGATATTGATCCGGGAACACTTGCACGATCTCGGAGAACAAATTTCGTATGAAATCGTACAGCGCCGGCTTCGTCGGGTTCAACGGACCTAATTTACCATTCGGCTTCCCGGAAGAGTCTGATGAATATATAAACGGATTAATTCATATAATTTATTGAAGATGATATTATAAGTTTTTTTTTGATATTATAGATTTAACGGCTGATTCTTCAATCTATTTTATTCAATAACGAGTATGACAAAATAACATTTAGAGAAAAGTATAAAATAAAAATACGTGTACATTTTTGTGCATCTAAACTATCGTTTGTCTGTCAACAGACTTTTATAAAGATATCACAATTGATTAACGTAAATTATGTTATTATTTTTTATTTACCGTAACATATGGTTAATAATTCCGGATAGGCCAAACCCCACGATCTGGTGTGTCCAGGTGTGTCGAATTCGGGCATCACTCGAATCCCTCGTAATCTCGCGTAATCGACGACCTTTTGCACGTTGTTAGGCGTATAGATCATCGAATGATGGTAAGCGCCTTTAGCGGATAGATCGGGATACCTGGTGCTTTGGTATGGGAAGCTGTTATCGTCGACGATGTGCCAATGAAGAACGTTGAGCTTGTTGTACGACATAGCGTCCAGTGTCAACAGGATGTCAGACAGGGGTAGATAATGCCGAGAGGTATCCAATAAAAGACCGCGGTGCGGTAGTTTCGGCTCGTCCACAATAGTCTGGCATTTTACTTTCAACTGTAAAACACGATTAAATTCACGATTTTTATTTAAATTGATTTGATCGTGCAAACGAGAATTATAATATCTGTGCAGAAAGAAAAAGAAAGAGAGAGAATTGATATAAAAAAGCTTATATGTGCTGCATCCTGAAAATTATTTTCTTTTAACAAATAATTTCAAAAACATGCATATTTATTGAAATCGAGTTTGGAATATTTTGCTTACGGTAATGAATGATAAATATTTAAATATTTACGCTCGGGCCGTCTCCGGATGGTGCCAATATCTGTGAGAAAGTCTCGAGGCCTCGAAGGATTCCCCAAACGGATTCGGCCCGGAGAACGGCGACTGATGATGTTTCATTTATCTCAAGTTTATCTGCAAAAAATGTGTTAAATCGCATGAAGAAAAATAAAATCGTAGAATTCTTGCTCATTAATCACCGATCATGACTTTATATCATTAGTTCCACGCGATAAGAAACTAGGAAGTGATTTAAAATTATCCTTGTCTTCCCGATTGCATTATTTTACGTAATCCGTTGGAAATTCTTACATGTTTTTGCGCACATTCGCACCACGCGGAATCGCTTTGGTTTAATCTAATTAAATTAAATGTAATTTTCTCTACTATCACTTTCGAATATCAAAGTGACGAAGTTTTAAAAACTTCAGATATAGCCACATAGCACAAGAAATAAATTAAGAAAACTAAAAAATTAATTTTAACTACTAATTTTATTGTTATTTATTAATTGTTACAAACACACAGATATAAAAACATATAAATTCATAAATTTCGTAATTTTCGGATATATAAACGAATATTAATTCTCTCTCAGTATACAGAAATACTTTCTGTAACTCTTTAAAATACAAAAAAGTTATTAAAAATTATTTATTGTAAAACATATATAAAACAAATAATAATTAAGCATATAATCAACTAGAGAATTATAGGCAATTAGAAAAGATAAATATGTAATTTCTATCTCTGTTAAGAGAAGACGGAATTAATAATACAGGAGTTTGTGTTTCACAATTTAACGACTTTTTATCCTTTACTCGTTATTATTCATTGTTTGTTTTCAGTCAACGTATTATTTAATGCATACAGACTTTCAAGAATCATCGAATCAATTAAACTTAAATAAGTTAAACCGGTTTAACATCGCATTGATAAGAGGAGACATTATTAGAAGCCGGAAAAATTTAATTTGCGCACACGCAAGCCCGTTATCGACGTAAGTCGGCAAATGTTAGATAAGAGCTACGAGTGAATTGCTCACTGACATCATTCAATTAATTTGTGCACTATTACTTTGTAATGCACACTGCACATGCAAAGCGAGCAGCCTTACTTAATCGCTGCACACGGAACATTCATCCGAATCATAAATGAATTAATTAATACGTGTACAAAAGGTGCATATTTCTTCTATTTACTCAAACAACAATTAAGTGATCGAATTTATCTGTTTTTAAAATGCACCTTAATTATTTTCTATAACTTAACAAATATAATTATTCATTATAATAAAAATACAAATTAATAAAATTAAAAGATTATGTCTAATCACATCTGTGTTAAGTAACATAATTTTATATAGTATAGAGACTTACAAGATTCATTCATGTACAAGTGCGGCCAATGATCGCCATTCTCTTCGCAAGGTTGCAAAAGGCGGATGCTTAGGGCTTCAAGAGTGCCTTTGAAATAGGGATCATCCCGAACGCATGTTCTTGGCCCTTCCGTGACTAACCTCGCTATTCTTGCTTCCGTCAAAATGATTCTCATATACCGTTCTATCGCCTCGGTTATTATATCACATGTCTCGCCGTTTACCTTTGCGAATAATAATGTTATTTAAAAGAGACATAAAGTCAGAATATCAGCTTTATAGATTTTTTAATTCATATTATTTTACAATATGTATATATATGACAATAATATTCAATAAAAAAGATATCCAATGTTGAAGAAATAAAATAAACAAAGTGGAAAAACAAATCATAGAAACCAAAACAATTACTACTATGAAATCTGTAAAATTATCATTACAAATCGATAGCTGTTCCATTAAATCTTTTTGTTTTTGGAGATCGAACGAAATAATAGTTTTATTAAAACGACCGCTTCGCGAATATGCAAGTGTCACTATTTTATTCACGAAGATACGATAAAACTGGAAATAACAGTATATAACAAAAATATTGTCATATCTTCTAATTTTACGATAGATGTAGAAAAGTCTGAATTAATTATAAGTTTATTCTCTACATTGGATAAGAGATAAAGTGTACTAAAAAGAAAAAAGAATAAGACTCACTCGGATATCAAAGTTGGATGGTCGCAACAGATAGAAATCTTCTTTTACCACACGCGAATTTGGCATGGGCCAAACTTCGCCCTTTGTGGCTTCAAACCATGGACCCGCGTCCGCATGCCATTCGCAGGTCGCCCAGGGCGCGGCGATCACCAGGATCAGAATGATCGCGCGGCTCCACATGTCCGTCTTGCGTCAGGGAAAGCAATTTAGGTAGATGATCGAGGAACGATGTGACGCCACCGAGTGGTCATCGTCTACTGACGATCGCAGGATGCTGCAGAACCGTACGCACGTATGCATGATAGTGGTAACGACCTTAGCCTGCACCACTTAAGTTTTATCACTTTGGTCCCCGAGAGAGCTTCACGGTCAAGTGGGAATAACCAGTCTTTGTGTAATCTCGCCGCAGTCTCCATTTATCTATAAATCTTTGGCTGCACATTTCCGAAAAGTTTTGTCGTATGTATATATAAACGTTTGAGAATGCAACAATTATTCTTGATGATTCTAATTTTTTAACTTTTGAAGAAACTGATAAAGAAATTCTCAAATTCTTGACTCTTTTATACATTTTTATTTTGCGGTACTTTTGATATTTGTATTATTAATCTTTAATTATGCTATGAATATTAATTAGATAAAAGCAGACTCAATTTATTTCTGCTGTATTTCTTCGGTTTTTTAAAAATATTTATCATTAATAAATAAGTAAATGATATATATATTTATTTATTAATAAAATTAAAATAGATTTTAATATGGATGAAATAGCAATAGAAAGCTGTCAAATATTAATTAATTCTGAAGTTGATATTTTGTTCTATCTTTACACACACACACACACACACACACACACACACACACACATATGTTAAATCTATTTTTATGTCAAATAAAAGTTACACGAGATTTTTTAAAATGTTAACAAAATTATCAAAGTAATTCTTTATTTATACTTTTTAATATCATAAACAAGATAACACGATTAGATTATATAATTAAATGTTAATAAAAACACTCTTAAATTACTGCAATATACAATATTAATCACTTAGAAAGCTTTATCTTTAAAAATCTTTAATCTTGAATTCTATCTATATTTGTTCAATCTTTTATCATATTTTTTATTTAGATATAAAAAATTAATTAATTATCTTTAAATGTGTATATTTGTTGATAATATGTTTTATAATATTTTTATCAATAATGATATGATAAAAAGCGTATTTTTTAAATTTATTTATTTAAAAAATATATAACAAATATACAACATAAATGTAATGTATCATATGTTAGCTATCATATCTTTAAATATTTAAACGATAAAAGCGATAAAATTTGTTTTGCCTATTAAACGTTTTATCCGTTAAAAAATTTGATAGTTTATTGATCGTATATTATTTACAAATGATATTATATATCTTGTGGACAAGAAGATCGCTTTATCACAACTGTGCTACTATCGAAAGATTTAACAGAAAGCTACAAACAGTCGAGTGCAAAGGTCAATGATCTCTCGATTGCTCCGGCATTGACGTCGACGAATTATTATTATTATTATGGCACAGCGATCAATTATTCGATAATATTCATGATAGTTTTATTAATTGTTAAAAGTTTTCCGTTTAATATCATATCGGACAGATAAAATTATTTCGAGTTGTTTCAAACTTCTCGATACACTTTCGAGAGAGCATTATACAAAAATGTTTGATTAATCGTGTTCTTCACATAATCCTCCGTAGCTGAAAAATGTGAATCAATTTGATGGGTTAGCCGCAATTAGATCTGATAATAAAAGTAAAATGAGAGTACTGCAAAGTATTTAAAAAAAACGGAATTTAAAAATTATAGCTGATCCTTAACTTTATGTATATATTTATTTAATGTATATGTTTTATCAATGGGATCGATTGATTTTCTTTGTTGAGATGCAATGAAAATAAAAGATTCTATAGGCAAAACGATTATAATGACATACAATCACAAAAACAATCACAAATGCAAAGCAAAACGCACACAATATAAAAGTGCATTTATTAAGTACTCGTGGATGTACAGAACATTTTGATATGACAATTATAATGTCATGTCATTAACATTACAAACTTTGATTATACACATTCGTTGAACATATATTCGCTGTTTATATCTGTGATTTTTCCAATAAATCCATTTACAAGCCAATTCTCTAAATTCAACAATTTGTTTCAGAATTTTGCTGATTCTTTTAAAGCAAAGACGCAAATAAAATGAAATAAAATACTTTAACTGATAAAATATACAATTTATAGTAATAAATTAGAAAATTACTATGAGAAAATATATATATTAAACTTTATAAATATATATACTTTTGTATAAATATATAAACTTTATAAATATATGTATTTTTTATAAATGTTTTATATCTCTCTTAATATTACATATTTCAAAACAAATTGCAAATTCACTTGCTAGATTTATGAATGGAATTGACACGTGAAAAAAGACTATAAATTAACAGCACGACTCATGCTAATGCGCGATCGAAGACAAGTGTTAATTGACCGCGCAATACATTGTAAATCTTTTTTCTAAGTAGTAACAACTCGTGTCATAGTTTTATGCTCAATACTACTTTTATTACGTCAGAGAGACCACCTTAATGTAATTCTGTCATGATACGCTACTGCTCGGTGAATCGTAGCTTCATTGATTGCGACTCTCGTACGCCGGGTCGACGGTTGTCAGGGGCGAAGGGAAAGGAAAATCCAAATGAACGTGCATTCAGGGTTGGAGTACGGTACCAGAGCGCCCTAAAAAGGCTCTTACTTCGCTAACCTTTTATACGTAAAACCATTTTCATTAGAAACTGCCGCAGCAACAAGCGATAACACACTGACTAAAATTACTTTAATAGTCCGCAAACTTCCATGTATTTTCTGGAACATGTCTGATAAACGTTTCTTAAATATTAAATTAAAAACTTTATAAAATATAATAACAATATGACATATATATATAGCAATATTTAAAAAAAAACTCAATTATATTAAAAATCGTGTTGAAATGTATCTGTAATGTATATATAAAGTAATGCATATATGTATAAAAAATGTATATGTAAAGACGACTAAATTTCGACTATACTTACAATTAAAAGTCTCGTGCTTACAATTAAAAATATTGATTTATAAAGAAAAAAGATCTAAGACGTAGAAAGAGAGCATTTTATTGATAATTAATCATTTTTGTATAATTTGTCATGAAAAAAACAGCATATTTTTTATAAAAATTAATAATCCACGCATTGCTAATGTTGTTTTTTAATTATTGATCTAAAAAAATTTGTCATCAATTTATCTTAGACATTGAATGGTTTTGCTAAAAGTGTAAAGCAACGCAAATTTTTTCGAAATATTGATCGAACCATTTTAAGTGTTTTTTTAATGCTATTTATTTAGTTTAATTTATTATTTTCCCTTAACGCTCAAAAATTCTTAAAACTCGGAAATTTCTTTGCAAAGTTTGCCACCCAGTGGCATCGTACAATTGCATGGTACCCTGCATTCTCGACTACACACGGATCCGCGCTTGCATCTGCGCGTTGGGAAAGTACCCCGAAGGTGGGGCGACCACCATAGAGAGCGTCGCGCCATCGGTAGGGTAGTCAGGGGTGATTAACGGTATGAGGGGGTACAATTGGAGAAGGGAAAGGGAAGAATTTTATAGAAAAAAATTGAGCGGGTAATATGCCTCGGCGTGATAGCTGTTGCGATGACGTCCATGACGTCGATCGGTGGTGCTGCCAGCGCTTTTACCTTGATCCCCCGATGTGTGCGTGTGTGTGTATATATACACACATATACGTACATATGTATGTATGTCTAGTACGATAACGATAGTGACGTTATACGTAGAACATACTCGCGGGGTAGGGACACGACTCGCGGTGACGTTTCTACGAAGGTGGCGCCGGCAGTCGTCCTGGTGGTGGTGGTAGTTGTGGTGATGGTGGCGGTGGTTGGTGATGATGATGATGCTGATGGTGGTGGTAGGTAAAGGGTGGCCTCTCTTGTACAATCGCCGGCTGGTATTAGAGTACTCTCTCAGTGCGCGCGTATCCGTTGCGCGTTGTGCCGAAGCTCCTCCTCGTCTCTCCCGCGATTTTAGTGGTGGCCGGTGACATATACATACACAAATGCGTCGCCGAACGGGGGAGTAATCGTGAGCTCGCGCAATCGCGAGCGTATATGTGTGTGTATACGTGTGGGGTGGCTGGCCCGTGTTCGACTGCGCGAACGATAGAGAGATCGAGAGGGAGAAGGAAAAAGACACAGAGAGGGTGGGCAGACGCGAGGGTGGCGAACGCCGGTGGCGGTAACGACGGCGGTGTCGGTGGCGGCGTCAGTGCACGGAAGTGGCTGTGCTCCGGTAGTGGACGGTGGATAGTGTAGTGCGGTTGGTCGGTTGGATCGGTTGGTCGGTCGGTCGATGGGTCGGTTGGTCGGTCACGGGGGTTGATTTGCCGTTCGTCTCGCGTCGCCGTCGCGTCTCATTTGGAATCGAGTTGAGCCACCTCGGGCATCGTCCACGAGGCGCGAGCGGCGAGACGACGACGACGGAACCGGAAAAAGGAGAGGAGGAGAGAGAGGAAGAAAGAAGCGAGAGAATGAAATCGATAAGAAGGGACCTTAGGCGCTGGTTTCGCAAAACGGGAACGCCGGTGCGCGACGCATAGAAAGAGAGAAGGCGAGAGACAGAGGGCGATATATATATATATTCTCCTGTGAAAGAGTGTGAGTGTGCGGTGCGCCGACGACGAACGCACGCGACGTACGGAAACGATATACGCGTGTAGTACGCACGCAGGCGCGGAACCTCGCACACGAGGGTGGAACGAGGTCCGCGAGAAAGGGAACGTAATCGGCTCGGTTCGTCGACTTGGCTCGCTCGCGAAAGGGCGGTTCTTGGATTCGGAGCGCCGTGACCGGAGGCCGAGGGAGAGAGCGAGAGAGACCGGAAGAGGGTACAAGAGAGGGTACAAGAGAGAGGGTTCGTTCGTTCGTTCGTTTGCATTGCGTCGGCTCAGAAAAACAGGAAGACCGGAGGAAGAGGGAGTCGACTGCCTCTCTTTCTCTCTCTCTCCCCCTCGATCTCTATTCGCCCTCGCTCGATGGGCTACGCCATCGAAAGAAGGTCAAAGATCGATCCTCGGGCCGACGAGGGTCGTGACCTCGTCGTACGCCGCCGCCGAGTACGAAGTGACCCACGCGCGTAGTAGTACTATTCGCTAGTAGTAGTACGCCGGCCAGAAACGCGGAAGTTGTACTCGTTGAGGAGAGGAGGTGAAAAAGAGGTGGTGACGGTGGCGTGGGTGGAGAGAAGATCGATCGGACGGAGGATCATTGTCGCGACGCGAAGATGAGGTCGATTGATCGGCAAAGAAGAGACCGAACTGGCGGTCTTCGTTGACATTGGCCGATTCTCGACGATAAAAAAAAAATAACTGTCTCGCGACGTGAATAAAGACGAGGACCGAGGACCGATCACGTCCACCTCGTCAACCGGCAAAGAAGAGACCGAACTGGCGGTCTTCGTTGACATCGGCCGATTCTCGACGATAAAAAAAGAAATAACTGTCTCGCGACGTGAATAAAGACGAGGACCGAGGACCGATCACGTCCACCTCGTCAATGCTCGTCGTTCGCGAACGCACTATCGCATGTAGAATAGAAACATTCTCGCGTGTCATCCCGGGACACACTATCGTCGTGTCCACGTCCTGGCACCGAAGATCACGAAGACGCCGAGAGACCGGAAGCGCATCGTCCACGTCGTCATCGGCCATAACCGGATGCTGCAGCACGAAGTTGGAAACGAAGCGAAGATCGAGTCGCCCGAAAGGAGACGATCGTCGAAATTGGAGCCGCACGCTTCCATCCTCCGATTATTACCCTAACTGAATCCTCGGACAGACGAACGGACGTCCCGTCGAACGGGAATACGCTCGTTGACCGGATCACCCATTGCGGGCTGATATGAGCGTAAAAACGCGCGAGGAAGACGAGGGAAACGGTCACGAGGCGTGACGAAGAGAGCATGAGATATTAAAGATCCGGTAATAATTGGATTCTCTCGGGGAACGAACACTGCCGAGAAAGAGAGAGAGAGAAAAAGACACGGAGATTGTATAATTTAATCGCACAAAGCGATCGCGCGAAAACGGAAGGAAAGATCGAGACAGAAGGAGAAAGAAAGAGAGGAAGAAGTGACCATACTGACGAGACACTAAAGAGACGACACTGACTCGGGACGATCTTGCGGTGACAACAACGAGGAAGAGAAGGAGAACGGGGTACGGGTTCGCGCATTACGGGTTTCTCGTATAATGTCACGGGACCCATACTCGAGCAGTGGCGTGGTAGGTCCCGGTGGTGGCACACGCTCACCACGCAGCGGTCGTCGCGTAGGCGAACTGCCAACCGTCGACCGTAGTCCGTCGCGTAGTTATGCGAGCGGTCGCGGTAGTCCTTTGGGGGGTCGCAAGCAACGGGGCACACGCAGCGGCAACAATTCGCCTGAGCACATCGGCTTTGGCAGCTACCATCACCATCAGCTGGGCAGCCCGTACTACTCCCGCGACGAGGACCTCGGCAGTCCCGTGATGCTCGAGGAGAGGGGCAGGAGTATGTCGACCGGGGGCGGTGGGGGCGGACATCACCGATCCAGAAGCGCCTCGAGACCCGCCATGTCCAGCTCGGCGGGCATGGTAGCGCGTTACACCAGCCTCGATCGTGCCTCCGCCGGCGTACTCGATCATGATCGCGAATTCGTGCCTATACGCGAGCCGAGTCGCGAGCGTAGCCGCGATCGCGGCCTGTACCTCGAGGATGAGCTCTACGGCTCCAGGTCGGCCCGCCAGAGCCCGAATCCGCACATGCTACGTGACAGCGGCGGCTACATTGGCGAGCTTCAACATCAGAATAACGATCTGCAACGGGAGCTTGGCAACCTGAAGAAGGAACTCGAGCTGACGAATCAAAAGCTTGGCAGCTCGATGCACAGCATCAAGACGTTTTGGAGCCCGGAATTGAAGAAGGAACGAGCGCTGCGCAAAGAGGAAAGCACCAAGTACAGTCTCATCAATGAGCAACTCAAGATGCTTAACTCGGAGAATCAGGTCAGTCGAGACTCTGCTAATTCTAATCTGCGACTCGGTCGATCCGCGCGGTTTTAGCTTCGCGAGTGCGTGTGTCGTCTATCTCCCCCTCTCTCTCTGTATGCGTATCGCCGTTCGATTATCGGATTCCGTTGGTCTTGCACGGATACAAGCTACATATATTAGCCCTCGAAGAGCCGTTGCGGTTGAAATGTCGCGAAGTGTCCATCTCGGAAAACCGCGATAATGCGCGGAACGTCATCCTGACCGAGATTGTCGCGGCTGTCACGTCACGCGCGTCCTTGCGCCGAGGCCGTCCTCTCAAAATCAGGTCGCGGGATCCACCATGCTCCACGATAATCCCTTTCGCAACCGCGAAGTTGCATACTTTAACACGTCTATTTGACCTAATTATCTTTAGCCAGTATGGTTAAAAAGAAAGCGCACGTAACGAAGCATAATAATAACCAGAAAATGGGTTAACCCTTTGAGGAGAAATCGTTATCTTCCAGAAATTGTGTTGCGCATTTAACTATTGAGCGGTATATATACAGATAAATGAATGAGAAAGATTACATAAAAAATATGCAACATTAACGAAATATCAATCAAAAATGAGCTAAGCTCGAGATGAAAGATTTGCCCTTTTCCCTCCCGAAATTGTTTAATTATATAACATCTTTTTTAAAACAGTATCCAGATGGAGAAACTAAAGAGATTACATATACATATAAAAAGATATATTAAAATATAAGTCACGCGGAAGTGGGTTAAACCTCTTTTGAGAAACCCTTTGACGAAACAGCGCGATATTTTTACGAGAGCGTTGGATTATTTTCTCCACAGAAACATGTGTTTTACATTCATTTTACAAAGAGAATACGTATCTTCCATATTTTGCGAAGAATTTTAATCTTAAAAATTGAAATACATAGAGTCACGTTTTTTTACAGTCTCATGGCGTCACTAAGAATCCGCGGCATTAAGATGATCAAAACTTTTCATAATGCATTACTTAAATTAAAATAGCGGTAGTTTATTCTGCAGTAATATACTGTTGCAGAGACTTATTATCGATTTGCTAAAAATGCAACACGAAGGGGGAGCCACCTTTATGCCGATTTCGCGAGAACGTCGCATAATCACCATCGAGACCACTGAGGCTTTTGTAGTAATTAAACCATTACGGTGATACATGCATATACCAAATTCCGTATCAATTAATGTACGGAGTATAGCGTATTGAGTGAATGTTGAATTAATTATTTATAATCGGCACAGCAACAAGTTTCACACACATACACACACATATATTCTCACGCCATAATTTGTTTTCGTATTCATTTATTTAAGATATTTTACAATGAATTATTTGATACATTGACTAATTTATAAAATCAAGTTTGTGCAAGCTCTGCCAAACTGTATGACAGAATAATAACGACATTTATGACAATAATTATAATACATTGATTTGAATTATAGCTCATCTATTATTTTTATCCAATCCTTTAAATATTATCCAAAAATAAAAATTTGATTAATTTATTATTTCATCTTTTTTGTGATTTTGCAGACGTAGCACATATTCAATATTCCTGTAAACTCGAAATTTGATAAGATTGTCTTGACGAAAAATTACATCGATCTTCACATAAGAACGATGCGCCGCGGCTTGTAATTGCGGGGAAAATAATGTATCTCTTACTTAGCATCCTTTTTTTCGACGAGATCAATGAAATTCATACTCAAAGTTTACACGCGATTTACACGTGCGTACGTGCGTGCGTTTTCTCGTCAACGTATATACACGCGTTTCGCGTGCACGATGGCGTCGAATGAGTCATTGCCCCCGCGAGTGAAAGAATTTCACAGAGTTAGATTTCTCTGGCCGGTTGCCCATGCCTCTACCTCCCTTTGCCTTTACCCCTGTATCGAAGTAAATGCGCGCGCAGTTAGGCATTTCTCTTGTGACGTATGTATTCGGATGCTTACCGGATTTACATCAATCCATTGTTCCCGACTTGCCTCGTACGAAATTCGCAATCATGGGCGAGTCGGGGTTGTTGTAAATTATACCGACAATGTTTTTATACGATTCTATATTGTATGTGCCAATCAATAGTAATTGGAGCGCTTCTCTTGTTAAAAAAATACGGATTTAAATTGAATTATATTATTATGCAAAATATATAAAAAGAATAATGATATTTCTATTATTATTACGAGGACAATGAAAACTAATTAAACAATAAAAAATAATTATAATTAAGTAATTATAT